GCCTCGTGGAGGACACAGAGCGGATGTTTGTCCTAGGAATATGTTGGATCTTACGGTCATCTAAGAGTTTAAGCAATACATGGGGGTTGTCACCATGAACATGTGTGATATCTGGATGTCTGAACATTGTGGGGGTTACTGGTTTACTCATATGGTTATCTTACTGAAGAAATCTAAATATTCATAAGCCATGTTGAGGCAAACCAAATCCCCGGCAGTTGGCTTAAGTGGCTGTGATTTATGCTGATTGATGGATTGATATTCACATCACATGCATTGGATGAACAAATCAAATCACATACTAGTAGTTCATATGAAGTGTACGAAACACGAACTACCGAGACACCCAAACGACACTCCGTATGTTTTACAAACATCAACTTCGAAAAAGTGGCAATGCTCGGAGATGGTCAGACTGACTACTGGATCTCCATCGTTTAGGTTAACTCACTTCCTCATATTTGCTGCTTACAACTTAAAACTAATCCCTTGGGCGAAGCCCTGAGTATTGGATCTATTCATTTTGGGTCCTTTTGGTCCATTTTGTATTCGATGGAATCATGTCCCCATTATTGTTGCACATGCTTTCCCCATGAAACCAGCATGTTCCGCCAAATCGACCACTTTTTTGGGGGCAGCTATTGATCTAATCGACTGATGGGCTAATCCCTTCCTAATATTCAAAACCCCAGAAACCATGTTAAACCATGGTTTAGTAGGGGATATACGATGATAGACACATATTTGGAACGATTTAGGGAGTCTTTCACCATTGATCCCATCCCAGTCCCAGCGGTTTTTCATTGAGCCCACTGGCATGGCCAGTGACATCATTGGACACCCACATGTCTGAGATAGACACCTTGGTTGCAGCAACCACAAAGGAGCAATGGACATGAAGAAGACAAGAAGATCATGTTGTCATACATGTACATCTATCACATATATATAATATATATATATAAGGTGTATATATGAAATGTATACACTATATATATATATATGTACATATATATATATGCATATATATATAAACGCAACATTCATAACATATTATGTAATTATATGTAACTATGTATATCTCAATTCACAACAATACATGGCAACTCACCGTTACTGTGGGGCTGCTACACCGTTCCATCCAATGGTGAATCACTTCTAAAATGGGGGGCTAACCCAATAGCTCGATGGTTTATTTCATGGAATAAAATGGCTGATTTATATAGGTGATTTTGAGCTGCCCTCATTTTAGGACACCTCCACTTCTATATTCAAATGGCCATGTATAGCCCATTTTCAGACAGAACATTACAGAACCATAAAGCGAATTACAACAGGAACGTCCACTTTTGGCCATTTGGGCAACTTTTTCACCAGCCAAACCTGTCACAGCCCTGCTGGGAGCTGAGTATCGCACATCCTCCGGAGTGCTCCCTACGCCAATAATGCTTGTGTAGTAGCCTAGCACTGCACGCTTGAACCCTCGAAGGAAGATACGCGACACACCGCACATAAGCAGCGTTGAGGGTCACTGACCCCGCAAGCTCCCCCACAAGGTATTCAACATCCATCCCAAGCTCCTAACCTCAAATGTCACTGGAAATTGCTTCTCTCCTTGACTTGCAGGGATTAAGTTTTCTTCAAGGTCATTTGAAACACCTTGTGGTTCCAATCCACCAAAACATACACGTTTATAAAAAAGAGTTCGTATGGATCATGCTGACTCTCATGTTGACTGAACATTTAACACATAGGTGCATCTACTATGTATATTATATATATATATATGTCTACATGTACATATATACATAATACTGTACATATATATATATATCATATGTATGTAGATGATCTTATGAACCAACACAGTGTAGTGCGATATGTTCGTGGCCCAGTTCCCAGGTTGGCCTGGGTTGAAGCGAAGGCTATCGGAATAGACCTTGCAGAAGGCTGGATATTATTCACTAAACATGGGGATAGAACAAAGGAAAACAAAGGAAAACATGTATATAAACCAACCAGAAAAAACAAAAACAGGCAAACCTACAGGGATATGACGAGTATACACAAACTACAGTATCAAACCTACAGAGTGCCGTTGGACGTCCATGTAATCCAATCTTGTGCTTTTGAGGAAGAACCTGTTTAGAATGCACTGTACCTATTGGCTGTTCGATCAGGACAGTACCGACCATGGGGTAGCCCATTGCCACCCGCCACCTGTTCCCACAAGTTCCCACCACTGAGCTCTCCAACTCCAGGTTTCAAGAGAATTGCGTAGCGTTCCTGGGGTGAAGCTGCTGCACATAGCATGCCATCTTCATCAGACAAATGGAGTGATAATCCATTGGAATGGAGACGTCCCTGAGTCAGCGAAGGAGTGCTGAACAGCTTAAGTTATATTATATATGGAGGTTTCCTAAAATTGGGGTACCCCCAAATCATCAAAAATTAGACCGTTTTAGTATTGAAACCTATGGTTTTGGGGATACCCCATTTTAGGAACCCCCGCATATACATACATATATTATATATATGATATGTATATATATATATAGATGATATGTATATATATATAATATGTATATTACACCCTACCACATCCTCCCATTCTTGATTCGTTAACCCATGGTTTGCCACCAGAATCTTGACCGCAGAATCCCATCCACCTTGTATCGTCAGTGGCTGGTTATACACCCCCATTCTTGCAGCTGAATATGCCCATGTTGGATTGTCTTAAATCACTATTTTATGGACAAAACCATCTCATAGAGTCAGATATGTTATATGTTATATATATGTTGTATATATATATATCATAACTACACATAACTACATATTATTTAATATGTATCCCATTACATTCCTGTAAAATTACCATTACATCACCATTTTCTGGAGAATCCTGCGAGATTCCATCACACCTGGGAGCCCTGCCGCCCCAAAGTGGCTGGTTGCATTTTGAACCTCAAAAATCTTCTCCTGGATGCTCCAGGGAGCGCTTAAAAAAACAGCGGCAGAATCAAACATGATCATTCCAGGAACGGAAAACGCGGACGTATGTTTGTGTATGTGTATATATATATATTATGATAAACATATAATACCTAATAATATTATATATAATAATCATATTATATATATACATCATATTATATATATACATCATATCTATCTATCTATCTATCTATATATATATATGTATGTATATTACTATAAAATAATAACATACACATGAGGAAATCACATGGAGATGCAATCAGCAACAGGGTTATCTCTGGTAAACATAGCATCATTACAGTTCTAGTTCCGTTGTTGGAGCAAGAGTGACTCCGCACCAAACAAGTGCCATCTGCTACTGGGCACTTCCTCAATCACCTCAATCATCCAGGCCTGCCACCTGATGTTCACAATCTTCATCCCTCAATTCAGA